ACGGTCGCAGATAAGGGTAGTGGGGCACAACGAGTGCAGTATTTGGCTCGCTGGCATTGCCAAATTGCCAAGTCATCATCACGCCAACATCCAAGACGGATGAGGAGATCGCGGCCATTTACGACTCGGACACGGGTTGACATGCCATCATCGCAGCAGTTACGACTTCCAGCGGCGATCGCGAGGGCTGTTAATTATAGCACGCATGTAATCCCACGACAACTACGCACTGTAAGTGCACTCGTTGTGCCTCCACTACCCTGATCTGCGACCGTCTCCGAGGGAGGGGATATGTTGGGAGCAGGTGCAGCGAGGAGAATGACGCGATCTGGGACAGACTTCAGCTTGTTCAACCCCTTGTTGCACCTCTTCTTAATATGAATGAGTCTTCGAGACTGGATGGGTAGTTCGTGTTGGCAGGAATAACCGGTGACAGAAATTTACCATGCAAGGAACTGTAAACGGAAGGAAAAAAATGAAAACTGAGGGCACTGGCGAACCGACCTCACCCCATGCTGATCAATCATACTAAAGGAAAATGTACGAAGAATATGTTGTCAAATCCGTCTCTCTTGATGGCTGCGACTGAAGGTATAATTGGATTTGACCACGCAGACAGTCTACCCCCTAACCCTAAACTTATGTCTAAGGCATAACACTAACCCTGTCCCTAACCCTAACCCCTACCCTAACCCTAACTTCTAACCCCGACCCATGATCTTAATTCTGGCCCTAACCCTAATCCTTATCCCTGACCCTAACCCGACAGCCAACCGTAATGGCAACACTTGGGGGACGCACGACGTGGAACGATCGAAAGGATGCGGGTTAAATTAAGCCTACCCTAATGATGCAAGTAGGTATTTTGTTGAAGTAAACACTAGTTGGGGCCGCATTGACAGCAGTCACCTTTTCGGTAGACACTTCATTTATTTCACTGTTCTCGTTAGTTTCTGCCTGTCAAACATTGGCGTCACAGCAACTAGCTAAGGCACAAAGTCAGAAAACCTTCACAGGTATCTGTTTGTACGCCATTGCATTAACCAACTCTCCATATCACATCAGGTCTTATTGGCCGGTTCCCTTCTTCTATTTTCACTTTCATACTGGCGTCAGGCCAGCTTCTCCATCTTCCCCAGTGAGTGTCACCATTAATGGAGGAAGGTGTAGAAAAACGGCATTATTTTTATGACCGCTTCTAATTTTGCCGAGTTCTGGTACCTAAAATCAACTGAGACTACTCGAGATTATGTTGGGAACCAGAGTTAAATAGATAATTATGTTTTATAAAACCCGAGATGGAGTAGCTGGGCGTATATTTGTTTAATGGGCAATAGTTTAAATGAATCGGTCTTAATTCATTTTCTCGCTCACATAAAGCTTCAGTGACAAGACAAGCCAAGATAAACAGAGAGATGAGAAAACATCCAGTTGTGCCAATAAATGTTTCTGACTGCACCCAGAAGCTAATCAGAAATCAAACGGGCGGCGAGTTATCCCCAGAATATTGCCCGGAATTTACATTTAACACCTTAAATACGCAGGAAATTTTTCTTACTGGTGGTCGTCACTCGTCTTAAATAGCTGACGAACCAATTAGCCTCACCTCCGCCTTTTCTTCCCAGCAGTCCCTGGAATCCGCAAATAAGTTGACCATTGAAGGCGTTCTGTTCCCTGTATGATTTTTAAATGAGGACTTATTGATATTAGCAAGCTTTGTGTTTGCTTTTAGGCTGCTTCTTAGGGCAGCGCAATGCGAATAATAATTATTTGTCGCTTCATTAATCAGCCTTCAAAGGACACTAACGAAGTGCACGTAATATAAATCGGGTAATGATGCTCAGCGACGTTTAAAAAAATCGATGAGGAAACTGCAAATGCATATTTCATTGCATGTTGTTTAGTTTAGCCATGCAAAGCAATAGACTAGGAGTTAAAAAGATCAGACCAGGCCTATCAACTGGCCTGTCTGATTGGCGTTCAGTCGGTCGACTTGATCCCAGACGCCTTTGTCTACGTCTTTCCTAGCATTTTCGATGGGCTGCATAGTCCGCAGTCGGTCGTATACTAGTCACTGCCAAGTTCGCTGCAAAGCTTCCTTTGCTCCTTTGCTGCCAGTTCACACTTAATGGCTTCAAGCTATAGAGCGTGTACCCGGTAGCTGACAACATTCGGGCAAACGTGCGTTGCCTTCTGGAAACATTTCCGTCCACTGCGTTGACTCCGTACTCTAGACTCCTTCCTAATCCAGCAAATGACACCTAGACTGCCGTTGTGAGCCCATGCATTTTTAACTTCGTCTTGCGCACCTGCTAGGTCGGACGTTACAGTATTCAGTCGGTTTTTTGCTGATGGACAAGAACACCGGACGGTGAGTGCCGGCGAGCTTCTTGGTCTTTCGTTAATTTTCTGCAAGTCGCCCACCGGGTCCCAGGCAAGTGTCCACTATCTATTTCCTCATGCCGTCGCCAATATCGCACGTATTCGGCCTTCTTCTATTTTATAACATTACTCAGGTAAGCATCTTCAGGTCACATATGGTGGGATCTGCGGCTTCTGTTAACGTCTTATCGTAACTTTTCTGTACATTTCCCGCCCTCAGTTGGCTTTCCAATAGTTACCCATCTGTTCGTATGAAAGCGTTCACGCGGGCACCCCAATTGGTGAACCTGTATCAATCAACCTGCGGAAGGAAACAACGTCGCGTCGGGCTATCTATACGTCATGAGTTTGTATGGACACGCCGAACGATTACACCGTATAGATGTGATTTTAGTGATAACCAATACGCCCTGGTTGGTGTGTAGACCTGCTGGCTTCGCGCACACACGTTTAGCTTCGACCGAGTAAACTTGTTAGACTTCTGATAACGTTAATTACCCGTCGCTGCAGGTCATCTTGTCTAATATCATGAGATGCGCCAGTTAATTCCACGGTCAAGATCTGAAAGTAGTCCTTTTCAACGTTGAACTACTTTTTACGGCGACTTGCATCAAATAAACAGACAATCCAGATGAATGTAATTCAGCCGGAGCATTTATTCTCACAGTCTACCCATTATTTGGGGTAAGCCAGTCCAGGACTTCTCTCTAGCCTCGATTCCGTTAATATGACCCCTTATTCGGCCACAACATGCCCTAATAACTCAGCCTTATCCCGCAAGAAAAGGGATTTTGAAGGTTTTCGGTAGGATCAGCCTGCCTCAGATCAGTCAAGAATACCCATAAACTATCTTCAGAGTCTTCCCGAAGGACGACGACAACAGCATGATACGCCAAGCAGGCTTTCATAATAAACTGCGCGAGGATTTGGTTCGTGGGTTGCCGGAATGCGCTCAGTGTTTCAGCCGATTCGAAAGGCATGGTTTCAAACTCATATAATCCTTCCGATACAGAAAAATCTGTTTTCCCCCGGTCGGATGGCCTATATCCTACCTACCAGTATCTGGTTACTAAATATAGGGTGGAGAATGCCCGGTCTCCAGAAGGGCAACTAAGTTTGCGTTAATCCGAGGGAGTAAAAACGAATCCTTTGTTGCTATTTCATCGCTTACGGTAGTCGAAGAATAACCGTAAAACTCCATCATTCTTCATGACCAGCACAGCCGGTGGAAACCCGGAGCCGTCTCTGGTCAAAACCTCAATAGGACCCTCATACTGGACGCATTCACCGAAACTTGGGAGTCTTAACTGCCAAACAAGATGTATGCACACGGCCGGTATGCCGGCGTCGGGACAGACCATGCTGTATGGGAGTGCTGGGTCTCCACGGAACCAGCGGTTGCAACGCCAACGGCCTCCTCCTCCGCAAACCTGCACAGAACTCCTTACCAACGCCTACTTCTGCCCTCCGACGCGGGTAGTGGCAACGTGGATGCACCCTTGCTCGCGGAGCTGATGTCTGTTGGACTATATTTTCCTCTGGAGACGATACCTCCACAGCGTGCTGGTGACAGTGGCGATCTGCGGTGCGGACGGCTGGATGGATCACCGTCTCATCTTTAAGATGAGACTGCGACTCCAACCTCGCAGATGACCACTTGATGGATTAAATGAATCCTGTCAAATGTGTCTGCTCGCTACCCCACACACATGGCGCGCCAACTGCGCAACGGAATGATGGCTCAAGTCACGGACAATTGGGCGGTCTCGGAAGCGATAATGGGATAAAGTAGGGATATGTACCGCTTCCACCCTCTTTAGCCTCACGTCCTCCACTATGCTGATGGACGCTCATGATGAGGAGCGACCAATAATAAACATTGCCTGCGAATTCGATTAATAACTACTCAACGCACGGCACACGCAGGCACGCCCAAGAGTATCCCGGACCAGCGCCCACGACCCACTGTTTGAGAATGGCTATACACTCAGTGCAAAGACAGAGGCGGCCCCGCATAAGAACACAGAATTCTTCACCCTCTCTGCGCCAAGTTCGGACTTGCCGTCAGCGCGGAGAAGGCGGTGATCCTGCGTCAAATAGCATCAGACATGGACTACAGTGGAACCCACATCAGTCACTGGGGTCAACTGCCCACTGTGATCAAATTTGCATATCTAGGCAGCACAATCTTTCGGGAGGTTAGGATCGACGACGAACTGGTCCACGGGATTATCAAGGCTGGCCAGGAATTTGGGTGCATACAATCCACAGTCTACACAGTCTACAATAGCCGAAGACTGCACTTCGACACAAAACTCAAGGTTTACAAGGCGACAGTCTGGATGACACTACTCCACGGGACGGAGACATGGACCATCTACGTCAACTAAACCAGAAAAATCAATCTTTTTCATCTCGGCTGTCTCTGAAGAATACTAAGGACGAAATGGTAGGAAGGGATAACCGACAAGGAAGTTCTGAAACGGACCGGAAGCCTTGGCATCCACACCATGATGAGGCAACAGCCTTGGCGCGGCCACTTCGCCAGGGTGGAGAACGAGTTTCTACCCAAGCGACTCTTCTATAACGTCGCCACAAGTGCTCACCGAAATGGCAAAAAGAACACTACAAAGACACCCTGCGGACCCCCTCAAGGATTTACAAGTCAGTTCAGTTACCAGGGTGGACCCCGCGCAAGACCAGCTGGGATGGAAAACAATAGCGAAGCTTAGAGCGACAATCTACGAAGGCAACCGGATTGCCGCTGCTAAAGCCAGAAGAATAGTTTGCAAACTTCGAATGCCGCAGACACAATCCCAACTACAAATCTCTTCCGGCGTGTCCATACTGCCAACAGACATAACGCGTGCCGATCTGCCACGTCGGACACCTTTGGGCCCAATTCAATTGGAAAACGACAACTCTACTTACCGCCTCCGGAAATGCCTCCGTCGCCACGCCTACCACAACCCCCGCGACTGCGACCACCGCCACTCCCACCCCGCCACCCCTGAAAACACCTTCGATGCTCTGTCATCCGTCATTACGATCGCTACCGCTCCCGCCGCCAACAATGCGAACTCGATTCCAACCTGTCCCCATTGCGCTCGCGCCTTCGCATCCCGCATCGGCCTAATCGGCCACATGCAAATCCATTGCACCGAGGCCGGTGAACCGGTGCCGCGAGAACCAACATATGCCCGCTGCAACTGCCCATGATCATTCAGTCGCCGCATGGCCCACTCGACCATGTGAGACTACAAAAAACCGCGGTGCAACGCCATCATCACACGTTTCCCGGCCGGCGCAAACAGCACATACAAAACCGTTACAGACCACCCACCACACAGAACAAGCACCTCTCATGCAAGTGGGAGGCATGTTTTTGGCGCAACCTGGTGTCGTACCAGGTCGTGTGCAATACATTTTGGTGGACTCGCGTGGCTCTGTCAGCCTCTGCACCAAGTTCCACCTCCGGTCTTCCTCCCTTAGTCTTGCCATTAGGCCCAGGAGGGTGGGGAGGGGAGAGTGCTGAAGATTCTGCGCAAGCTTGCTACCACTGTAAGTTAATTCGCCGTCACTGCCCCCGCTACGTTGTTGGGCACAGGATGGACATCATCGTCCGAAAAAGTCGGACCGTTAAGCCGACCACTTGGCAGTGCGAAACGAATGTACTGCCTTGCCAGGAAGGAAATGCTTGCGCCTGCCTCTTTTACAGTACTGTACTTTTCGTGCGCGGTGTTGTTTAACCGCACTGCTGATGTTGATGCTAATTAAAGTTCCAGGCAGTCCTTCGCTTTGTAGCTTCCGACAAATCCAGATCCCAATTTCAAGACTTTACGTTCGTTAGAAATTCGTTTTGCCTTTAGGTCTAAGTCATCGAAAGTGGACATTCCTGACCGGACCCAAAATTTCATGCAGAGGAAAGTTCCGTTTCATGATTATCGGACCAAGTCAAGCCCATGAACTCGTTGTTTTTGTTTCTTCAAAGCACTAGATAGCACCTGGGCACCCGGGCGGAGCAGATACATTCGCCAGGCCAAACACTCCCTCCGGCAGGGGCCATCAGTGATTTACCAGCGGGTACTTGCTAGGATCCTGATCGTTCATTTTCTAAACGACGCATGTGGTGTCATGCGGACTAGCTCCCATTGCGTGACAATCGGTGACACCATATGTTTTTACGAGGGCCATCCAGCCGCATTGACGAGCCGGAGTTACCGTACCGCCACAACGTGCGTTTCCCTTCACAATGCCCTGCGCACCCCAGCAAAGGCGCACACTTCTAGCCACAGCTGCCCATACCTCACGTGCTGCAATATACGCGAACAACGTTGCAAGGTCCTCTAACTCTCTCTCTCACTGACTTATAAAAGCAACAGGCCATCGAGATACCGACTTGATACTGCCGCACATGCCCTGGTCTTGCCAGCTGTCGCTCCTGGACTCAGAACGGGGAATAACTCGTCCGTCTTTCCACTAAGATGCGAATCTAGGCAACGGAATGCTGCAGATTGCCGAAATATGAGACTGGAGGCCCGGTTTAGCCGGCAGACTACGTACCTGTAGATGGGCAGTTAAGTATCCACCTAGTTTTTACCACATCAGAGGAAGGTTTTCTAGCATCTACATCCTTTTTGTAAGGTCATCCACAGGTAATTGAACTGGTCAACTGCTGTTCTGGAAGTGCCTTATCAGGTTTTACTTGAACTCGTGTGTCCCAGAGGCTGGTCTGTGTGTTGGCGCTCGCTGACAACGGCAATCCTCGTAGCCCATAACGAAGCCGTGAGGAGCCTTTGGTTATTTCGCGCGTTGGGAAGCAACTTATCTTTGGCACTGTGACTAAGTTGTACTAGACTCGTTAGCGAACTCACACTAAAGCAGACGGGATTGGTGGTCAATCAAAATGGAACTATAATCTCTCCCAGAGGCGCATTAGTCCGCCCAAATGTCTATCGACACTTAAAAGCACTGAGTTTGCGCATCACTCCTGGATTTTATATCACTTACATTTTGGCACCTAAAGACTGAGAAGTAAATAATACGAGACTTAAAGTCCACTTGGAAAATGTATAGTGAGTCCCGCTTCTGTCTACCTGGAACGCCTCGCCTAGAAGACCCTTTTGTCGTGTCCTGACTCCCCTCGACGATAGGAGGCAACAGGTAGTCAGGTGCTCCGTAAACCTTGGCTTCGACATTGTACACAAGTACATGATGCCAGGGAGGAACGAGGCGCTGTGAAGTGTCGCAACAAGCATAGTTTTCGATTTACAGAAAAGTCTGCTTGGCTGCAGCGTCTGGTAGAGGGTGAAGATCCGAGTTCGAGACCTACCAACTTCAAACGAGGTAGTCGAGATCTCTACACCGCGACCTCCGGGGACGTGCCTATCATGAAACATCCCAGGCGGACCGGTCACCCGGACTCAGGGCGGAGGAATATCGGCTGCTTCGTACGTACAGCCGGTAGGCGTCGCCACGATGGCACAGTGGTAGGAGGCCCAGCGCCAACTCAAAGGCCCCACCCCACCGCAGACGTCCCAGGAATGATTAGACTTACTAAGTTCCACAAGTCGCCCCTAGCAAGTACTTCACTTTAAAAAGGTGTGCCGCATTCCAAATACTGCCATAATTTGTATTTTTATCTACTGCGATCAACAAACTCTCAGCGTTCTTGTAAACTGGGGCTTAGTAGGTCCCTGCCCATTACCCATCAGGGCCCATGCTTACTGAAAACTAGATGGCAGATAATGGTAGTCAGACGGTTTACATATTCTGAACTTTTATTTACACCTGTCTAATCAACTTTAGAAGAGATGGAGTTCTTCGGGGCAACCATCTCCCCACGCGGACTGTTTCTCCAGTCAGTGGACGGATACGATCGAGAGCACATCAATTAAAGATTAATAGTGTGTAATAATGTGTTAGCTACTAGCCGCTCGGCAAAATAGGTAGTTCTTCACAGTGTATCTTAGCCCGGCGGGCGGCCCGCATGTCTAGACAATACAAGGAGACTCATGAAGTTCCTCCCACAAATCTAAATGCGTGCATGTCTACGCACATCTTTGTCCTCCAATGTGATTTTTCAGCCTATGTTCGTGTTCACGCCGTCTACAGGAGCTTTGCTGAAACGGTAACTATTTCATTTTAGAAAGGCGGTTGTTTGCCTCCCTTGTACAATCGGAAATTGCACTGTAATGGCTTCGCTACGTTCACCGGTTGTTGGCTGGTCCCCCTCACCCTAGATGGTCGTGTGGCGAGCGTCTCACACTTAAATCGCACCCTCAGTTCAAACGTCCTGAGCGTGAAAAACAATTTCCTGAGGTCCATCGCTACTCTCCAGGGCGTTTTTTCCACTTAGGTCTAACACCTGGTCTCACACGCCGGAAGTCCATTTGGAAATTGCAGCAATTACGTAAAAATATGAATGTGCCACACAGAAATAATTGCACATGTGCAGGCGGAAGTTTGTGGTCCGTACTTCGTCCCACCCAGGGTGATTTCGTCGTACAACACCTGCTGCCCATTTTCAGGCAACTGCCTGCGATTTCTTACTTATCCCCGCTGCCACCAGCGCCTTTGGCCGAGCTTGATGCAGACGGCGAGGAAGCAGGAACAACGGCGGCGGCGGTAGCAGGCGCGACGGAGGCCGAATTCGTCACGGTCGTGGTGGGATTGCTGGCGTTACCACTAACAGTCGTGGCGGAAGAGCAGACGACAGCAGTGGTGGCTGAGGTGGCAGTTGTTATAGCAACGTTGTTACCACCTGATGATGAGCTTGTTCCAGGCCCTGCGCTTGCGGACGCTCCATTGCCACCAGATGTTGAGGTTGCTGTTCCCGTTGGACTGCTGGGACGTTCCGTACCCGAGTTGGCAGAGGATCCGGACTGAGAGACCATCGTGCTGCTGGCCGCCGCCGTAGTTGTAGCTGAACTCGGCAAAGACAGCTGACGTAAAAATTGACTCAGGGAGCGTTTGGTGGCTAAGTCGGATGATAGGAGATTGGCGAAAGTACCATCCGTCAGCTGCTCTGGCAGACATGAGCAGAGAGCATCGCGAGCCCTAAAAAGCAATGTGTCAAAAGCAGTCAGTCAAGTGTGACAGTCCGATGTAGCTAATTGTACTCTCTCAAATCATGGGATCAGGTTGTTCACTGATGAAGAGATTCACCACGAGCCAACAACTGACTTTTCCTACAAGTATGACGTGCAAAGTATTTTTAGTTGCTCGTAGAACACCTGTGGTATAATGGGTGATGCTTTACGCTGTCCAAAGGTTGCTGAAAATTAAGACAGATCTGTCGCCAATCACTGACGGTGAAGAAACACTAGACGTGCTGGATAAGTCGAACTCGTGGTTCACATTTCCCAGGAATCACAATATTGATTGGCATGCAGCATAATTCTAACGTATTTCATAAACTCCGGGCTACTGGCTTTTAGATGGATGTTTTCAGCCACTTAATGAAACCACATTTGCTAAAAATGGTCAGCTTAATAGATACGAAATAATCCGCAGGTGCGCAAGACGAAGTTAAAAATGCATGGGCTCACAACGGCGGTCTAGGTTTCATTTGCTGGATTAGGAAGGAGTCTAGGGTACGGAGCCAACGCAGTGGACGGAACAGTTTCCAGAAGACAACGCACGTTTGCCCCAATGTTGTCGGCTACAGGGAACACGCTCTACAGCTCGATGTCATTAAGTGTGAATTGGCTGCTGGCAACAAAGAAAGAACAAAGGAGGCTTTGAAGCGACCTTGGCAGTGACTAGTATAAGACCGACTGCGGACTATGCAGCTCATCGAAAACGCTAGGAATGACGTGAAATCAAGTCGGCCGACTAAAAGCCAGCCCGACAGGCAATGAGGAAGGTGCTGTTAACGACAAGACCTAGGGGATTATCGCTAACGTACATTAAGCTACACAGACCGAAAGAGTAGACACTCTGTAGAAATATAGTTATTGGGAATAATTATTCCTGCCATACTAGTTTGCGCATTGGAAACTTGCCGGCGCTCCAGGCGCTGATCCTCTAGTTTCGCTCAGATGGATTCGCAGGTGACTGATGTGGTGGTGGTGGTGGTGGTGGTGGTGGTGGTGGTGGTGGTGGTGGTGGTGGTGGTGGTGGTGGTGGTGGTAAAAGTCGTGGCTTGAAAGCCTGACAACTAACGGTATAACTAGATTCGCTAAAGACAGATTCCGGCTGCAATGGCTCCTGCTTAGCGTGGCCTTTATGGCATTTTCTCGCAGATGAGATCCGAGCCGCCCTCTGGTTTTCCGTGAAAACCTGGTCCATAGTCCGCGGACTCAGCGTGTGTGGTACGCGTACACGGGCTGCTTAACTTTGTCAGCTACGGTGCTCAACCCCGCCCCCCCCCCTCGGTCTTCATGACTCTGTCTTGACGCCGAATTCAGGTGTGCGAGGGAGAGGGGGGTGCGGTAAATGCTGCGCAAATCTTTAACCATTACAAACTAATTTACGCGCTATTCACCGTCCCTGCGCCCACCATGCTGCGAGGCACACGGCAGACATCATTGTTCGCGCTGGTCGAACTGTCGTCACCGTGTCGGTGGTGCTCACAGTGAGGATTATCAGGAACTCGCCAAAAATGGGGTTGTCTACCTGATATCATCAGAGAGACGCTGATAACAACGGATGACATGCTTTAGGAGACGAAGAGATTGTTCTTTGGCAAGCTGAGACACCATCTTGTTCAGGACCGCCGCCACATGAGCAAAACGTTCGTAAGTCTGGCATATATAGGCCAATCCCACGTCGTCCTGTAGAAGCTTCTGCATGATGAAGGTTGCTACCTGAGGGAGTTAGGAAATAATTATTTGAAGATAACAGATCTGGGGTAGTAGGCGAGATGAAGTGAGACAATACAGGTGGCGGCACCCATCCACTCGACTTGCCTGCAGAGAAGACGATACGCCTCGTTACTGTGTCGAAACCAAAATCAGAACTCCTGCGGAGTATCGTAACAGCAAGCAATCCAGGAGGTAGTTTTTCGCTTATTTGCCGTTATCAGTTAGTTAAGTTTCCAGCCCTCGATGAAAAGATTCCAATTTTGAAGTCCAGTCCGTCACCTTATCGAGAAGTGACATCTGGCATTAAAAACACTGAACAGCGAGCGCGATCGAAGTCAAGACTGTTGCCCATACTGTTGGTAGTGATACCGAAGACAGGGCGGAGGAATGGAAGGGTTATTTCTCACTTACTGCGCCAGCCACAATGAACCCAACCCTCGGCCGGGAAGTCGAGCCTTGGTGCCGTTGGTCATTCAGCTACGGATTGATATCCTGAGGGCAGTGATCATAAATCAGGATAGAGCTGTGGACGCCAGATAAATGCGTGTTTGAATATTTACAATAGCAGTCGATTAAGCGTAAGTTCACGACCACAACCATATGGCGTCTGGCTCCATCATTGCAAAACGAAATATGGGCGGATCCGTCTGGCCCTGGTGGGCCGGTTAACAGCCCTTGTAGGTGACGTGGGATGCAACATTTCTGTTAGACGGCGAGAAGCAAACTACAAACAGTTATCTTAATCTCCTTTTATTGGACTACCTATCGCCTGTCGCTGTGAAACTACATGGCGGCTTTGGACAAGAGCTCTAAGACAAAGTCGAGTCGCCCGCACTCTCCACCCCTCCATGAAAATTCGCATAGATATGTGGACGTCATTAGGTCAAGCTATCCTGATTTCTATGAACATCGAGGATGATCTTAAACTAATAAAGAAATGGCATAAACGTGCCGTCCGGTAATGTGCATTTTCACTGCACTGCATGGAACCACCACCAGGAGGGCGGGCTCCTCGTTAGTTGCTGGTCATGCGGCACGTCCACAGGGATGGCCTTCAGCGAAGAGAAATACGCAAGCTCTCGGGGTCTGACGCAAAAGCAGTTGCGGACCAGTGGGGATAGAGCTGCCAGGGCGCAGAGGGCTGGAGTCTGTGGCATCGACTGCCCCATGAAATGTCGCAAAGATCGATGACGACACTGTGGTGTGACAACCCGAAAGAGCCAGTAAACTTGTTTGCTGGCCACCACTGCCCTGTGTAGGTTCTTGAGCCGAAGCGATAAGGGTGACAACTTTGAGCAATCCGAGCAGCTGTTGGGGGCCCGCTCTTCAATACCTGGTGAACAATGTCTACGCTACGCCGTCCGCGGGAACTGACACACTCTGCAAATCTGGTACCTGTGCTGTTTGTATGGTATCTTTCAACCTAATATGCTGACGATATCGCCCTGCTGGCTCCCAGCTTTGGCGCCCTCCAGGCTGTGGTTTCGCGGGTGAATGAAGTCATTAAATCAATCAGTTTGTCCGTAAACGCTGGAAGGTCCAGTCCTTTCGAACTGCACTCCTGACCAGATGACAACCTCTATGAAATAACAGCTGTCAACCTAAAGTAGAGTTTCAAATGCCCCGGGGTGAGGCTTTTGCCGAATGGACAGGAGGACGACATCGTCCATCAGAATCGATGCTTCTCGCACGGGTTTCCACAATTTCTAGGTGTCCATAAGTCCGGCGTGGTACGTCCATCGCCACAAACATTTGCGTGTGCCGGGCATTCGTCTTGTCAGTTATATACGGCTGTGAAGGCTGCGCTGTGCGCGTGGAAGATAAACGAGAACTGGAGGTGTTTGACCACTGCTGCCCGAGAATCATGCTTGGAGTGAAGTACACTGATTTGGTTTCCGATGCTACGGTCCGCATTCGTTGTGACAACATCGCGGAGATACTTTAGGTCATCTAAGAAAGACGACTGAAGTTGTTTAGGCGCGTTCCACGTCTTCCGCCCTCCATTAGGCGCCGTTGCCCACCTGGTGGTGTTGAAGACAAGGACAACACAAAAAAAACCAGTTCGAAACAGTTCGCCAAGGCGTGCGAGTTGTTATTGGATGTGTTCTATTCGATCCCCGTCATTGGAGGCGAGGATGGGTCAAGCTCTCCACGTCTGCTGCCGCAGATCGTCATGCGTGGATGGGTACATTTCACGAGACTATCGAGGCCAGTTAGATCAGGCATGGCCACAGCTGCCCCAAATATTAGGTACAAGTACGTACGACCACAGACAATGAGTAAGGCTGCTGTTGGTCGGTGGCGGTCAGCCGAAGCAGTTACTAGACTCCCAGCGTAATCAGTAGGTAGGGGCACAGACAGAGTAACCCAGTCATGTGACCACGCTGATGACTGGATAAGTAGATGAAGGGAAATAGTCCGTCTTATTGATGGTGGAGTTAACCAGACAAAACAGGAATACGCTGGTAATTTGATTGACAGAGACCTTAGTGTTTGCAGTAGATTATCGCACTAGCCGGTGTTTACGTGCTCGCTAGGGGTTGACAGGCGCGTGCACAAAACACCAACCTAATTACCTATTTTACGACAGTCAATGCAGGGTGTTAGTTGATAAATGAACGGGCAAAAGGATTTCCAGACGCTGAAATCGCGAACAGGGAACTCACAGTCTTGCTCAACTCACTACCAGACTCCATGATGAGTAAACACAGCGGAATAATTTCCGAACTCAGCAGGAAGTTAATGGCCTCCGGCTCGTCGGTCTACAATGAAAAGATAAGGTGAAAGACGGAAAGATCCCTAAATCATCCCGGGCAACCTCACTACGGAATTAGGGGACGACTTGCAAGACTTCTGACCAGACACTCCTCAACGTTGAGAACATTTTTATTCTCAAAACTGTCGTATCACCCAGCACTTACATCCCCTTCTTGCCTATCATCGTTTAAAAAAGTCAAACAGTTGAGACAGTCAACACCAAGTTAGCTTACCTTAGCAAGGGCTCCGATGACGCCCAAACTAGTAAGACGAAGATACTCAAAAGGTCGCGTGCGATTGTTGGTATTAAGAAAATTGTACAGATAGAACGGTATGTTGGCCTTCAGGAATTCGCTTCGAGTGTCGCGATGCGATGCAAGGCACTGGAGGAGGGCAAGAGCATTGCAAACTCGGTTGGATTGATGGGCCTGAAATTGCAGAAGGGAGGTTTAAAAGTAGATCTAAAGGACAGATCAAGGCACAAACGGTGGCTTGCGCGGGCTAAAAACGTCTTACAGAAAAGACCGACGTAATATATTGCGTGATGGAAGTTGCCCCCTCCTAAGATGGGCAACACAGTAGTTTTTAGTTGTGTCAACGTGTTCGGTACTTGAGTTTATCGCAAATAAATCCACCGATAGAGGAACCTCGACTTAACAGTGTTAGTAATTCACAATCAAATTAACTTTCCTGCTCAACATTTTGAATAAAAACAAACGATACAGCAAAAGGCCCTAAGGCTGCTTACATACTTTTCCCATTTTCTAACGATTTAGACCATAATTACTTGCTGTGACTGCCTCCACAAGTATAAAGGTCAGACAAGACCCACTTAATGAGTGTAAGCACAAAATGACGAAGCGCAGGGGTGATCCGCTGCCCTAAGTCGCCGCTCCCCATATTTAGGGAAGACCACGAAGTTAAGACAGCAGAAACACAGAAAACGACTCCAGTCAGAATCAAAACAGGTGAAGGGCAGGTCGAGGTCAGGCCGCTGAAAGTAACTCCATTAGGCGGCATTTCGATCCGTCCCAAGGGTACTGCATGCTCGACGGAGCGATCCCGCTATCGGCCAGAAGAACATGTTCAGGCAAGAGGTCGGAAGCGAGAAGGACTGCAGTTTCGCAACTGTCTTGTCTATGAGGCTGCACTCCTGAGCAGGTTTAAGATCTCAGACAAATGTAACGACAGTTTCGATGATTGACTTCTTGTTTGGGATAGAAGACTTTGCCGACTAGAATCACAAGCACTACTGTTGAAATTATGAACCTTCAGGTAGCTCAAAAGGTCAACCCTTTCAGTGGGTACCGAACTCTTGAGCTCTGGGCTTTAAGAATTGTGTACGTCTGCTATGCCACGATTTAGCAAACGATGGCCCCGCAGTCTGGTGTATGCTGGCAGTTCCCTGACACCTGGTTTCCTGCCGGTAGATGTGCTTACGTTCCGCCGGGCATACAGGCCGTGTGCATGTTTGTCCGGTAACTTGTGTCATCCTCCTCTTTCTGACTCGTTTTTGTTTGTTGGTTAAAATTCTGTTGTGGACCAGGGGGTGGTGGTACGCCCAGGAGTGGTTCCGGTCGTGCCAGTCACCTGCACCCTCTCCCGTCTTCGGTCTTCTTGACTTCGTCTTGACACGGGGCTCCGGCGGAGGAGTGCAAGTCCAATACCACTGTAAACTAATTCACGCAAGTCATGTAAAAATTTATGTAAATAATGCATACGCAGGGACTCCCGATGTTTACCGGGGAATGCCGGTTGTCCTGAGAACCCGGCTTCCCATAAGGACGGGCAGTCACCCTTAGGAAATACGGAGCACCATATAAAACGCCACACAGCCCGGTGACGACACTTTGGCATGGTAGGTCTGGAACATCATTAAACCGCCTGCCACATGTTGCAAGTGCACCGCATCCCGATGGATCACCCCCTCCCCTCCCAATTGTCATCGGGCTGAGGTGGACTATAATGCTAAGTTTAGCAAATTGACAAAATAATCCCCCTTCCGGCTAGCGATACGCTGGGTCAGCCTTCCCGAGTCTTCAGTTGGTCACTTTGACGCCGTCAAAAGTTAGGGCAGAGAAGCGGAAACACGACCTCTCAAGTGATTTCGCCCTGGTGGAGGTATGGCGCAAGGTCGAGTTACCACAGTCGTTAAGTATTAAGGACGCAGTTGAGGGATTCTTTCTGGCCAACTGTGCAGCCGTTCTTTGGAGATGCGATCCGATAGATGGATTTGGAGAATGGAGTGCAAGCACAGTCGAACGAAGAATTGCAGGCGATATATAAATCTAGAGCGTTAAGTCAAGGCCTAACATCCGTACAGAGGACTGGAAGTATCTGGTGCTTGTTGAGGGCGAAACCCAAAGGACTCATACTGCCATCGCATCTAGCACCCTTAAAACAATCAGGTACTTTGGTCTGAAGGATCACCTGCTGCAGCATGACAACGGAAGGCACCAACAAAGATAACGAGATTATGAAGACGGCTGGCAGCAAGTAAGCGCAAATGCGACCAGGAGGCATTTTTATAGAACTGGCCATTGAGTGGGAACGAAGACTGAAACTAAGGTTGCGTGTACGGCAATAGGCTACTTACTTAACACTCGTGATGGCGATTTTTGATCGTCCTGAAGATTTGTGACCATAAAGCTATGGAAACAAATGTTGGTCGTAAGAAACTCGCGTTCCCAGGAACTAGTCTGCAATAATGACTTCAGACGAGCGGTGGGCATTCACATTATGTCGTGCCGACTGCATCGACTGCACGGCCCCACAAAAGATTGCACTACAGATGGGCCGGGCCAAAGTTCGGTCACGGAGCGCGCCCAGCCGGCTGTGCACTGCTCGCGCGAGCCCGTAACTAGTAGCACACACGCGCGTGGCCCGCTTCAGATGTAGGTCTTCATGTCGCGCCATACGCTGCATCCTATCCCATCATCAGTTTGTCGACAGCCTCGGACAGGCGACTAGCCAGTGGGAGAGCGAAGAGCGTGGTCAACACCAGCGAATCTATTTTCACGGCAAATCAGCGCATTCCGAACCATAAGAAATCTAACGCGGTCGGACCTATCACGAGCCAAGAGTAGTCGTTTGGAAAGCTGCCAACTGGCAGAATAGACCGATCCTTCTCGGGGATGACGGTTAGATTGCAATGTTCCCTTCTCAATGAGGCCTTTCCTGCACACGCTTCAGGCTTGATCCGCGCTTACACGAGCCTGGTGTATGTAGTGTAAACCAGATTGTGTGTGGCACGCGTATACGGGCTGTCTACCTTTGTCAGACATTGCGCCCGGGCCTACCTCCGGACATCTTGACGTTGCATTGTCATCAGAGCAAGGTGTGCGTGGGTGGGGAGCTGTGCTCTACAAGTACGCCTCACTGTAAACTCATTCATGCACAAGTTACCGGCGCTGCGTCCACACCGTGAAGCACGCGGTCGTCACCGTTCGCGACGACTGAACTATTCTATTGATTGCAGATTGTCAAGGCTGGGGTACCAGACTTGTTGAGCATCCGTACGTTCCGATTCAGTATTCCATCTGAGGCCTTATCCGGCCGCACCACTGATGCAGAATTTGGAGTGACACCACAGTAGGTAAGAGCAAAGATAGCCGAAGCAGGAGGATGACTTCTTAATGACGACTAGCCACCTTGGGTTCTGAGGCCGGAACTCACTGCCCTGCCACAATATACGACGAAACCAGTTGGGCTAATGGGCTGATTATGCTACCTTGGGTTCAACTTTCTGACAGCAGGGGCAGTATGGGGATGAAGTTGACAATCAGATCAAGAAAGAAGGACGTGCAGCCTTATTTCGACTTCGCTAAATCATCTGGAGTCCGCATTCGACTAGTCTGAGGCTTGTGTCAAGACCAGCCCTCCACGAGGGTGCAACACATGGTCTGTACGCTTGTGAGACTTACACGGCCTGAAAGTATTCGATTTATGACTCTTGCGTTTTATTTCCAGAATTCATCTCTCCGATGGTGGTCAGGGACTCAAACCGTCAAATGCACCCTCTTTACTGGCCGAGAGGGATAGCTGAGTCATTTGCTGCACTGACCTGATGGCGAAACCATTCGGGGCGTCTCGATCCGGCCCGGTCCTTGCTGGCGGCGACTTCGGATTGAGCAAATAAAGACGTGCTTTGACGAGATGAGTGCTGATCCTGAGAGCAGTTCCAGTTATATGTGGTACTTGAGTACTCGTAGACCATAATTCACCGGAATTCGCCTAGATATTCAGTTTACCCTTACGCGTGCACGTGATTTCTCGGTTCAACATCACTGGGCGAGTGGGCGAAGTTCACTGCGGACTACTAACGTACACGGACGTCAGTGAAAACAGTCTCCATTTTAAAACAAACTCAGCACGGCTGCAGAGGGTTTGGCAATTGCGACGAGTATACGAGTCTCGGGAAATTCGAGTTGGGATCGGTCGTACGAAACTGTGCTAAGGGAGGCACCAGCATAGCGCTAGCAAGAGAGAAGCCGGATAATCATGCATACTTATGTCGCGTATCCGTCGGTCAAATATTTTTATAAAAGCATAGGCCATGTACCTTTCACCGGGCTGGCGTCTGTTCGTTAACAACTTAGCAATCACAGAGTACATACTCGGTTTTATAAGGCGTCAAAACGGCTCCTTACAACAAAATGTGAAATTATTACTTTGTCAAAGCCTGTCGCTGTTTTTCCCTCAAATGCGTAACATTTCCAGTGACATTCTGAAACGGTTCGAAGAACGTTTCCCCTAAACTGAGCTAACAGCTCTGTCTATCTGAAACACTACAAAGCGATTTGCCAATTTTGGGTCGTGTCAACTAACCAACTCCAGTCATGATATAAGACTTACGCTTAAATTCGGTGGATTAATGTATGGGTAAACGGCACATATCTCCTGAAGCAAAGATGCAATAGCTCCATAGGAATGCCATAGAATCGGAGCGAAATCTTGAAAATTTTCTCTCTGTTTACTGAATGCAAGACGTATATGCCGTAAATGAAGACGCATAATACCATAATTCCAGAAGCGCTTTCTCCCTAGTTTCGGGATTGTTCAGTGCATCAATACATGCGCACAGACTTTCGATACTCTGCCGACTAGTGTTCGATGTGGGTTGTGCGAGGTTAGCATTCGCAGATAATGAGTTGAAATCCTTCGGCAAATTGCCTCCGATCGGCTGCATCACCCACACCTATGCCGATCGCCAAGCCCTTTAAAAGGTACCCAGAATGGAATATTACGTTCGGAGGCGGATCTTACAGCAAACTTGCACTGTTTATTTGTGTGAAGAGATTGTGACCACTTACAATATTTACGAAAACAGAAGTCCAGAAATTTATACATTATAATATAAAATTAACTTTAAAATTAGGACAGCAAGCCATATAATAAGTAAGAAAATGCATTCATTACTTGGTTATGCAAAAGTGTCAGGAAAATATGATGATAGGCCATAGATATCCCCTCCAGATGGTTTTCTCACCTTCATGTTCGTGGTGACCGTTTCATCGACCCTAAATCCCAACTGCCGCATCACATTAGATAGTTTTAATTTTTAACAACAATACGGTGCACACGTATCTGCATTTTTGTAATATGCGATAGCTACTGGCAAGCACATGGACAACATATGAGCGCAAACCCTCACTGACACATTCCAAATGAGGCAAACGGTGGCATGGAGGAGTTTATCGACTTTTATGTCTGTTAGAAAAGATCGTTTGAGTTTGCATGTTCGCTATGTCTGTAAATTCAACATTTTTAAGACCGATGCCTTTCACACTTCGGGTGTTTTTCCTTCAGAATTCCCCCGCCGCATTCGCAAACGTCAGTTATTCTCGACAACGCATGTTCTGATATGCAAGTTAATCCCATTTCCTTGCGAAAGTTACTTATTCATTACCTCGGATATCTAAGTTTCCGACATTCTGTCACTTTACACTTATGACTTTGACAGAGTACAGATTAAAATTCCAAAGGTCCCATTGGAACTCTGTACAGTTCACGGGGCGTTACAACTCCGACGAACTCAGCTTAGTCGTTTGAACGGTGTGAACACTTTTGGCTAGGGTCTAGGATTGCGACAGCGCAACCGTTTGTCAGCGAAAGTAGCTGCTCCCCTTTCTTTGCATAAACGTTGACTCCCTTCCCACGCTTTTGCCGTTAAATAAACGCTTATTCCGCTCCCTGTCGGTATCCCCCGCGGCCCTCCTCTGAAGTTGTCCTCAGCGCTTCAACTCCCGCAGGTTGTCTAATGGACATGTTGCCATCACCTCCTCGGTCAGGCGTATAATCGCTTTGTCGTAAATCACCTTCCTTTTTACCTGATTTCCTTTTCCTGAGTTCAAAGGAGGGTGACAGTGCCGAAGGGGCGCAATAATAAACCTACCCTATTCTATATATCGTCTCCCTACGTACCAATCTCCCTCCTCCTAGTATACACGGTGTACCTGCTTATCTTTCCTTTCTCCTACCTTGATGAGATTGGTGCGCATCTAATTGCATTGACCAGCTCGTTTCAAGTCTTCAGCGCTCCAAGTTATCTCGTGTGATCTACGCCCAACGCCTTTGGCCACCACACCATTACATCAGATCATCAACTTGACTTTTGATTGGTGAAGTTATTTCGACGTGCGCGCAAGGCACTATAGTTAACCCCAGAATTAGCGTTCATGTCGGTTACGTCCAAGAGTCTTTCAGGTTTTGACTTAGAAGTCGCGGTGGCTTTCTACGTGCTTTACTCCACTTCCGTATCGTCGCTCCAACAGCATTCTTTTCCTGAAAGCAACGCTGACGTGATAACTTTATTTCGCAACATTACGACAGCCGGCGCAGTGGACAAGATGACGGAGTTGGTTGTGATAGTTTATTCAGCTGGCAGTTGAAACCCAAATTTGGTCGTACTTTTGTTGCTCCGCCTTGTTAGATTTGGCAGCCGTCTCCGAACCCATGGTAGACAAACTAATAAATGGCTATATAGATCACGGAATGAAGCGTCTTTCGGACTTGGTTTCAAATTCTCTACCACGGAGGTATATACTTTCTTCCAGATTTCGGTCTATCTAACGCATCTGCGGCCTGTTCACAGTATGCATTGGACTTCACTCAGCCAATCATTCATTATCAGAAATTAACACCGCGCGCGAATAACCACTCTCCTGACCGCTTCTCCGCCCATAGTTCTGTGGAATTTCTCATGCCTAGGAACATTTGTGTAAGATACCATACTAGCAGCACAGGCACCCGATAAAGGCCCTAAAATGCGTGTTCCGCCGATACCCTGCCACTGTATAGAACAACCACAAGTCGGTCCTCCAGCGTTCTGGTAGGTGCTCCAGTTTACAAATTGTTGCTTTTAATTTCCTCAGAAATCGGAGTAGGCGCAGGCCGAAATTTTATGCATGAATAATTGGGCTTAAGTCCAGCAGCCACGGTGAGATAACCGCGTAATGTTCATGAACTGTCGACAGCCAGCCGGTGAGTAATATACTATGGGGTTACAAGATGCTATACTGGAGGCAAAGGTCCTCGCTAAAAATCCAGACACGCGTGTTTCACCGATATTCTGCATCAAATTTCGGTTTGTGTCTATAAAACTTGGTATATGTTGACCCACTCGAAGTTCGCAGTTGATTTCAGGAGAAAATTAAAAGTAACACTGCGCTCTTTTCGTACTTGCTACACATCGTGGCCTTGGTTAAGTACGTTGTCTCATAACATGTAAAACCTACCACCATTTCCTCAATCAATAATGGGGTCGAGCATTGTGAAAACGTCCATCGCGAGCCGTTTTCGAAATTCCACTCTTATGTGACGGAAACAGTGGAGACTCTCCTGAACTACCGAACTACCGGGTACCTTTAACAGTGAGAGGTCGCACATTGGACATCAAAATAATATGAACTGCGTATATTTCGCTGTCAAATCACCCCTCTCTATTCCGACAAAAGCTTTATAACTTAGATGCTTCTTAGGTACGTTGAGGGACTAAAAGCCTAAAAATGTAAATAAGGAATTTGAAAAATACTATCAAGAGCCAACACCAACGGCATCAGACGTTCAGCAAAACGGAGGAACACACACAAGTATGGCTTCTTTGCCGCATGAAACGCTGATAAAAATGACAACACATCTACGGACAATATAAATAACTAACGCGCCATCGAAGGTGGACTTGACTGATCATTGAAGTCCTATTAAGCGAAGATTCATGTGTTACCTATGTTGTGATAAATCTGTTTGAACCGAAAAATGACGAAAGTATAAATAACTTTAGAATAGCCACTACGAATAAGAAAATAACAAAGGACACTCGATTGTATCGCAGCTAATGCATTGTCATAAACGGTGTTATCGTGTCTGATTTGACATTTCGAAGGGTAGGACACATCATGAGGTGTGACGTTTAGAAATGCACAATATCTCTTTTAAGAGAGATGACAACGCTACCACCCTAAAGGCCTCCAGAATGGGCCATATTAAGGACCAAAAAGTCTATATAGTGTCCTATGGGCGCTTAAAATAAAACTGTTACTGTGTTAAAGAATGAATAAAGCCAACCAATATCATTAACAGTTCCTCTCCAGAGGGAATACCAAGCACAATTACTGCAGATCAGAAGGCTCGCATTGCGGAGCGCTCACTGGTCAGTTATTTTGGGGCGATACTTTACGGATGGCACAGGACAAACAGAGAGAACTAAAGTTAGAAATTCTGAACGGATTCATCTTGGCTGACAGAAACCTGATGACATAAACACCTTTAAAGAATATACACTCAGAAGTTCTTTTTCTATGGACAGTCAATAACGTAGAAGACAATGATTACCAGATCACAGAAAAGTAACAGCGAGCAAAACTGAGGTGGCATAGCAAGTGTGTGTCAGAGAGGTTAGTTGATAAGACATCATATTGCATAAAGGTCGTGATGCCTGGAGTGAAAATATCCTATTGCTGGTGGGAGACCGTGACTGACCAAATCAAGCTCGGGGTAAAGGATGTGAGCGGACACAGTGTGAGTGGAGGCGGCTTCCTGGATGCGGAGGCATGAGAGTGTACGACGTACCAGTAGTGTTAATGATATCAATAATGGTAAGTAATCCAGTCCTCAATCCCCAGTGGTTATTTCTCGGAGTCTTGGAGAAAAATTCTCGAAAAAGATGAGGAAATCAAGAAATTAATTGAGTCACTGTCAGGATAAACGCACCGTTTTAAAGACGGACCATCAATCTAATAACCACTTATTGATTTGCAGATTTTCTGAACGAGGACAAACTTAGGAGTGAAGGGAGAGCGCTTAGAGATGAAGAAATCAGGAGGAGGAGTAACGAAGGAAGGGCCTGTTATGTTATATAGACGAATAACAAGGGGTAAGGCTGAAATCCGAGGGATATTGGTGTTAACTATACGCAAAATAACGCTGGTTGTAGACAGGATATGTACTGAAATGGGGAGACAGCATAGTCCGATGGTCTTACAGACACGGCAGGTTATATGATATATAGGAATGCCATGGGCTGAAGTGTGGCCAGTCAGCACAAAGGTAGTTTGAACACGCGCGCGTGCCCATGACCGTTTGCTTGTCGCGCGCATATGGCAAGATGTCTAGACAATACTGACGGCGTGTACTGCACCTCTCAACCCTAAAATGGACATAATGCAGAGAAGAAGTGAGAACAGCAAAGGCAATAGAATAGAATAGAATAGAATAGGTTTATTGTAGCGCCCCTTGGGCACTGTCAGTCCCCTAATAAATAGTTAACAACTGTTCTTATGCAATTCGCCCTGAAAACGTTGCCCATGTCTGCGTGCTCGGGTCGATCGTCTCAAAGCGATATTTCTAATTTCCTTGCCGCTTTTCTCAGTCAGTGGATTCTTTACCCGCAAGTTAGTTCTGGTCGGGGTAGTAGGAGAATGGCAAAAATACGTCTCGACTGGCCGCGTTGTGTTCTGTGTCGCCAGTAGATCTTCCGTCCTCGTGAAGTCATAACAAACAGTTCGAACTTCCCGGATTTTCCACCTTCTGCGTCTGTCCGTCTGCGGACTTGGTCCAAATGTATATATGGATGTATGTATTTAAAGGGTTAAATGCAGAGCATTTGAAGACCCAATTCATGTGCAATGCTTTCGCATATTCGCACTCAAAATAAAGTTGCAGATATTTACAGTATGATCGGGCCTTTGT